ATTCTAGCAGCCTTGGATGATAGATGATGATGATGAATCTAGAGAAGTCGGTGGAAGGGAACTGGCAGGAGAAACGGAATTACTCGAGGAAAACTCTGTCCAGTGCCGCTTTGTCTACCAAAAAATCCTGGGTTAGAACCCGCGCCGCTGCAGTGGCATATTGATAACTAACCACCTCAGCTATAGCATGGCCTAGAGAGTCACTTGATGACAGGTGACCAAGCTAAGATGTTAGAGGGTTACATACATATGATTCATAGTTCCTACGCTTTCTGGTAACTCCAAGTTAAACGCAGGAAGGAAAAGGCTGAAATTGTGTGTGTGTGTCTGTGTGTTGTATGGAAGAGCTTATTGAGAAGGGAATCCATGGTGAGAAATAATATTTCCTGGCTTTTAACGCACATGAAGGGGGTTTGTAGATATATTTCATTTGCAAATTGTGTAAAATATCTCGGAGTAATCTTTGATAGCAGGGTCAGATGGACATTGGACATAGAAATGATCGAAGCCAAAGCCTTCAGAACATTTATAAGATTGTATTCCCTATTCAAAAGTGAGCGATTAAGCGCTAACATTAAGCTGACCCTCCACAAAGCTCTGTAATGACTTATGCTAGTCCCTCTGGGAATTCGCGGCGGACACCCATCTAATGAAATTGCAGAGCCTACAAAACAAGGTTCTCCGCACCACTTGCAATTTTCCAAGGCACACACAGGTTCTCGATTTACAAATTTACTTACTTACTTACATACTCATGGAGCTGAGCCCTTCTGGAGGAGCCGCCAATTCTGCAGCTACTCAAGAATTTCCCAGCATTTTATGGAACCCCAAGGTTCATTGCCGTGTTCATAAGAACCCTCCGCTGGTCCCTATCCTGAGCCAGATCTATCCAATCCATATCGTCCCATCGTATCTCCCTAAGATCCATTCTAATATTGTGCACCCACCCACGCCTTGGTCTTCCCTGTGGTCTCTTCCTTTCTGGCTTTCCCATCAATATACTATACGCATTCCTCGTCTCACCCATTCGTGCTACATGACCTGCCCACCTCATCCTCCTTGACTTGTTCATTCTAGTTATACTTGGAGAGGAGTACAAGTTATGAAGCTCCTCATTATGCAGTTTTCTCCAACCTCCTGTGACGTCATCTCTCTTTGGTCCAAATATTCTCCTCGTTCCTCCCTTAATGTCAGAGACCAAGTTTCACACCCATACAGAACCAGAAGCAAAATTATATAAGATTTGAGGCTTTCACGGCGGTGACTATGAAGAAAGCAGTATACACGGTGCCAAATCCCAAAAGACTGCTTTCTTCAGCAAATTTATAGTTTTGTATATTCTCATTTTTATGTTTTTGGACAACAGATGAGAATACAAAAGGTTCTGGATGGAATGGTAGCAAGCATTACCCGAGTTCAATCGCCTCTTAATTTCCTCCTGAATCAGGTTTCGATCTGTTATCGTTGGTCCCAAATATCTGAACTGTGCCACATTTTCAAAACATCTGTTTCTTATNTTTCAAAAGTCCGTACGTATATTATTACATAACAAAATTATGCAGGCAACAAGCGGAAGTCATACAAAATCATGATAACGAAAGTGTTCGCAATATTGGACAAGGCGAAGCCCGATACAGAAAGTATAAGAGGCTTAAACTTGGCGGCTGTCAAGCATACGACCGTTAAAGTGACTAGACTGCCGTTGTAGCGGAAGCTACTATAAATAGAGCATAATCTGCTGTACTGAGCCTGGACTGAGAGAAGCCCTGTGTATATTTTATATACATTTATTAACATGTTTAACACGTAAAATGTAAATATCCTTTACATTATGACAAATCACTTACTACTACAGACTATGATTCTGACCAAAGACAGACCCGTCCTCTCGTCAGAAAGGGCGCCCCACAAAAAAAAAAAAAGACCGAAACTGTCAAATAATAATAATAAATATCTCGACACCAAGATTGACTGACTGACCGTCAGCCGCACTGTGACTTCGACTTTGACAGACGAGTGAGTTGAAGTGTAGTAGTCGCCGAGTTCAGTTGTATCGAGTGAATGGAATCGAGAGAGTTTTCAGAGAGAGTTGAAGTCTAGCAGTCGCCGAGAACACTTTACCGAGAGAAGCGAGAACTGTGATAGTGACGAAGAAGCGTCTAAGAGGACATTATAAGTGACAATAAACATTCGCCAAATCCGAGACTTGCTTGAAGTTATTTGTCGCGTTACATAGGCAACACGCAACTCATACGCCTGGATATCCCAAGTGGTCTGTTTCATTCGGAGTTTCAGGCTAAATGTTGTGGCATGTAGATCCATTGCTAGGCGTCGACCACGAATTAGGCAACTGTGCAGTAGCCGTTGCTAGGGAACGGCTCTGCAAACACGCACGTTGCTAGGCAACAGATTTGTAACATGCAAAAGTGGAGTAACTGGGAAGCAGTGTTCCTACACGGTCCGTGTTAGTGTAGTGACGCAACAATAGAAGAACTGTTAGGAGATATGTTTTCTATGTGGTCCGTCCGTGCCAAGGCTATATAACGAGGAGCAACTGTGATTACGAGAGTCTTGAAACTACAGTTAGAAGAGCAGGAGGTAGTTGTGAGACAGTCGCCGTTCAGTAAGGACGTAGACACAGAAGATGAAGAAATTATGGTGTTGGAAGCCGTTACCAGTCGACAACCAGTAGAGATAGAGCAAACTGAGATTTCGTACGTGCTGTAGTGAACTGCGGATTGTGTGAATGAGGGTTATCGCTATAGTTACTTGTAGTTAGATCCGTAAATGTTCAATAAATCCAAACCCCGTCTATAGTCACTCATGCACGTGACAATATTGCATTTGTTTCTTGTATCTTCCAAGATTATTACTCGTACATGTCGTGCAAATCGTATCGTCCTTGAGTCAGGCATCCTAACACCGTGTACTGTAAATATTACGAAGCCCGTAAATGTGCCATGTTCTGCAACCTCATGTAGGCTCTGAGAGAGCACAGGCAAATGAAGGACTCGCCTGGGGCGACATGGTTTTATATAAAATTTCACTTTTCTTTCGCTGAATGGCAAAAATTCATGCTCATCATTTTTACATATTCTGGATATTAATTGGCAGCTATATAAACGTCTCATCATAATTGGGAAAATAGCGAATTCTGGGCCATAGCCTTCCTCAGAAAAGTCTGCCAGACTGCACCCGGTTTACACATCTTCGTATTTCGCAACAATAATTTTTCACATAGCAATGTCGTTAGCTTTATGCCCAAATCCCAACCTGGAAGACTAGGTCCATGTATTTATGTCCTCCAGTGATAGGGTGGTCCAGTTATGCACCCAGACACCAGGTTCCATTTTCGTCGCCTTCTATGACTCGCAGGTGTACGGTGGAGGAATTCTAACCCGCTTCCACATCTCCTGCATCGGCAAAAATAAAACCTCTCTAAGGAAGAGAACAGCAATGAAGGGTTTCGCCTGTGTTTAGAAATTGTTTTATTGTGAAGAAGCTCTGAGAATCCAGATCTGTTTTTAACTGGGCGTGGGATACGATGGAACAAATCATCGTGCGGAGATGATAAATGCTTGGGATGACCCTGTCTTAATGTTACTTTTGCTCTTTCATGTTCAAATGTTCTCCTCAACATGCAGCATTTTGTTTACAAGCGCCACCATTTGGTTCATCTAATAAGGTGACAGATCAACTTTCACACCCACACAAAAGGCAATGTTACAATGTTATCTTTCTCAATATTTACGTTTTTAGATAGATGAAAATGTAATACATTCAGAACTGAATATACCAAACTTGCTTTGCTCTTAATTTTATGAGAATTATATATTTTGTTGTTATCCTCATGATTACTTTGTGTTCGTACGTGCCCATCGTTCGGTATTCTAAAAACTGGAAAACACAGCGTTTCGGAAACTGTAT